AGAGGATTCAGAAGGCGTGCTGTACAGAAAGGCAGTAACGGCGGTTGTGACTGGGAGAGCGCCGTGAGAACAACAATGAGATAGACTGAAGTAGAATGTTGGAGATGAAGGAAAACTCCTTAGTCCTCTCCGAAGGCTTCTGGGAGATGTTCCGGGATCGAGAGGTCCGCTAAGTCTTGAAAGATTGAGTCATTACGGCTTTCCTGAATAAGAAGGTCAAAGTCTTCAAGCATCATGCTATTGACGGAGCAAAAGAAACATACATTTCTCGGTAGGCTGACCTGCGTACGCGGTGACACCATACGGCGCTGACTTCCGGCAGGGTAGCGCTTTCTTCTAAATAAAAGAATTTCTAAAACATTAATAGAAGCAGTTATTATACTAACGCCATACCCAGTTCCTCTAATGTCTGCCTGTTCGTCCTTATCTTTCACTAGAGTATTACTCTCATCACCTGCCGATGGTTGCTCATGCAGGGAAATGCTCCGCGTATGAGGTCCCGAAAGACCCCAACCATAGCATGCTTTCTGCTCAGTCCTCAAGAAAGTAACAGCATCCTGGAAATGTGACTGTTAATGCTCCGAAGTATAAAATTGAGTAGTTAAAAAATGTACATCCAAAGTTTCCGGAAGAGGCTTCTCGCTTGTCTCAGGCAGAACACTAACTAGCATCCCCGCGAAAAGAGAGAATATGGCGAAGATGATCATTGGAGTAATAGGTAAGGTGTTAATGGACAGTAGAGCGATATACGAAGAAACTCCAGAACCGAATCGAGCTACCTAAACGATGTTAGATAGGAATGGGTGTACATCTGGGAAACCAAATGAACTAAGTTATCGTTTGCAACTAACAATGAATTTCACAGTTACTTTTCCTGTCAGTGTAGCGCAAAGAATCTGCAAGCACTGCCAATGCTTGCTCAAAGAAAAAGGAAAGTAACATCGGAAATGAAGAAAAGTTCAAACGAACAGCATAAGCCGCGCTCAAGTCAGCAAGGCTTACTGCCATTGCTATTCACGAACGCCGGGTGGCGAACAGAATTCTAGCAACCAGTCCTACTTTCCAACACTTCTCTGCAGGCATTCCCTACACAACTTCTGCTTTTCAACATTCCTATCACGAAAAAGAATAAACAAACATAAACTTGCCATAGATGTCATTCCTACAGCTGTGTTGCGCACGATCGTAGGATATAACTCAGAAGTGAAGATGTACAAGATGTTAAAAGCACCCTAAATCTTTTTTCTAGTGGTTAATGGCTACATTCAATATGGACAAACATACCTGGATGCAAATTTTGCCAATCATCATGAACGCAAGCGCAAACATAAAATTCTCGCTTATGACAGCTACCATGGCTATTATGATAGAAACAGCTCCACTAACCAATGTCATCATTTGAGCTCTGAAATAAAGCTACTTTCATTTTTACCCTTCACCTTCTATGCCAAATAATTATAGTCAAGTCTTATAATATAAAGTAACTCACTTTTTGCGTCCAAACTTCATCAGCCAAACGCAGCAGAATAAAGTTGGAATCTCGATAGCACCAGCGACGGCATTGTT